ACTTGTAGCAAATACTAGCAATGGAAAGTTTGTATTTCAGCCGTTGGTACTTGTTACGGAATGGCTATGTAAAGCTATATATATATATATATATATATATATATATATATATATATATATATATATATATATATATATATATATATATATATATATATATATAGCGACTTAATTAATTTTAAGTAGAAAAGACAACAATTATATATATATATATATAGATTGTGTTAAACGTGGTTAAAAAATAAAAATATTTTGACTTTGTTGTTTCTGATGACATTTGCCGACTCTCGACTTTTTACTCTCGATCGACTCTCGACTTTTTACCACTGAGCTATACTATATTACTGGAGGACCTGCTCGGGATAAAAAAGTGTCCGCAAAAACATGGCGGATCTGACGCCATTGCCATGACTACTGGTCCCTAGATTCATGGCAACTACCACTGCCCCAACCGCGATCCTAAGCTTTCGACAATGTACTTCACCCCCCTGGTTTCAGCCCAAAAATTTTGTTTTCGAGGTAAAAATCTCATTGAAAATCTTGATATTCTTATCCCAGTTTGCTTGATTTACAACGGACACTGCCTTTTTGCGCCGCTCGTATGTATGAGAACTCTTCAAACAAGAACTAGAAGAATATTTTTATTCACCGGTAAGATTTTTACGGATTTTTATATATGAATATTTCTAGATTCTGGCTTGCTTGATTAAACTCGATAGAAATACAAATCCCTGTAGGAAAAATGGTTGGGAATTCTGTAATTTTATTGTTCTTGTGATTTACCACTAGCTTCTGTGTTTTCATATGGTTTTAAAGGCTGCTTGTGGTGTTAAAATCCTTACTGAGCACTTATATATTGATTTAGTACTACAGACTTCAGTGTTATAGAGATACGGTATATTAAAGCAAATTTTCCCTGACAAACTTTGAGTGATATATATGTATATCCTTGCCAGGTTCTTGTAGCAGTTATTTATAATTTCATACTGTGTAGTGATATTAAATGTCACTTCTACAACAGGCAAACTGAAAAATTGCTTTGCTAGGCCAAAGATAATGTATCAAGTTCAAACCATTCAAATGATTATTGACCCATTGCAATCAAGCAATAACCATAAACCTCTGAATATCTAAGCCCCAATGACAGACCCCAAATATAAGCCCTCCTGTGTAGAACGGCCACCATAAGAAATTCTGAATATAATTAAGCCCTCTCCCAAATTTAAGTCCCACAGTCTGTGTTAGCCAATGGACTTATTTTTGGACAGGTATTTTTTAATGCAGCAAAGGGATCCATTCCAACAGCTCAGCCATCAAAAATGCTGATGAATGCATACAAGCATTCAGAGGTTTACATGGTACATTCATCTGGCCAACATAGTTTGTCAGAGTTCTATAAATCCCACAGCCATTAGAGTTGTAGTTAAGTATTTGTAGGAACGAAGGGTGTGTACGTGCCAGCCAATGCATATTCTCTCAATCACTGCCCTTGACATTGACCGAAATTGTGCCCTGACAATTAACCAATTAAATTGATGATTGATAACATGTTTGAGAGCATCTTCAGTGGGAATGTTACTGTTCCCAGTATTGGAGTAGAGCCCAACTGTTCAGTTAGACATTATTTATGAACTTTCTCTCTTAGACCTGCATACATTAGATTATTTTGATATATTCTAATGTAAAATGAAACTTTGGGATAGTTAAGAAATACAATTAGTCCATTTATAATGGACAATTGTCATCTTGACAAGTAAAATTTCCTGGCATATTAGACGGGCTTATAAATGCCAGAACTTATATATGTATATTTACTGAGTGAGTCAATTTATTTGACATACCATGATATTAATTAACCATTAGGTTGCATTGTGCCCTAATGCACCCTACTTTATTATTTTACTCTGTCTAACACCAGACAGTTGTGGACTGGAGAGCCATGCATTAACATATCAATAATGTCTAAGTGAACAGTTTAGGCTCTGCTCTACAGTAAATTTCCCTGTAATCGGAGTCTGGGATCTGTGACCCAATACATCTTCAGTGTCTTCATATGATGCTGTCACTATTTTATATGTATAATGGACATTTCTCATTCAGGGCGAAACTGATGTAAGTCATGTGGACAAGAAATTAATACAAGTTCTTTCGAATGTGAAAAAAAAGAGTAGTGGTGCACTACCTCTTGCCAGACCTAACTGGCAGAACTAACAATGACTTTTCTCTATAATTTTGTGGGAATGTGTTATATTTACTCTGTACAAACAGCCAAAAAATGATGCATGAGCTCTAGTTTTAATAATACTGTATTATATATTTTAAAATTATTCACTGCATGGTCAAAGAATAATTATGAAATTAGCAATTTTAATTAAAATAAATAATATACAAAATCAAGCAAATTTTTGTCTTTAATTAATTTTGAAACATTACTGCAATACATGTTTCTTGGTATGGAGTTTCACTAACAACAGGGGCATGAACTCTAGCCTCCTCCACAGGCATCTCACCCGAGGAATTGAGTGATGGGAACCCATTGCAGGCTAAAACGCAAACAGGAAGGGGAAAATGGGCGTACGGGAAGGGAAAAATTAGGGGGGGGGGAGAAATTTGCCTGACTTTTTCGGATTGTGCCAGAGTTCCAAACTTGTCCCATTTATTTTTATAATAAGCCAATATTGCCCGACTGTGAAGCGAATATTGCCCAACTGGCTTTATTTGCCCAACAAACTGGGGGACTGCTGCCCCCCTCGCCCCCTGCCAGGTACGCCCATGCCTGCGGAGGAGGCTCAGAATAGATTATAGCGCCATAGGGGCTATGAATATGGAAGCCAGGTTGGCCTAGTTAGGAGAATAATTTATTATTTCTTTGCCGACACAGTTCTATTGTTTTGACAATATTTTCATGACCGATGTTGTTTTGACTTTATTTTGACCAAGTCAGTCCAGTTAGTGTTCCCGCCTTCCTGGTGTAACTGAGAGCTTGCCTTGTGCAGGTGAGATCTGAAAACTGAGCCAGTCAGGTTGTCCATACAATTTGAAAGGAATTTCCACTATAAAAATAACCACACAGTGAGGTCTTGCTTACTGGCCTAGCTGTCGCATTATAACAACCCTTACCAAAAATATGCTAGCACTTGAGTCAATTAACCCAATACTCATAAGAGATGGGACAAACAAGTTAATGGATGGCCTTTTAAAGATACATACAACAAACTATCAGAGAGCACACAATATACAAACTTGGGCAAAACATGCATTAATTTCTCAAATCAGCTGAGCAGCCTGAGCTTTGTCCTGCTCCAGTTCACCACAAGCTTATGCATGACAAAACCCGACCTTGGCTAAATCTATATATAAAACCTTGCTTCCCTCTTTAATATACTAGCACATCATAGTTTCATGTCAAATATTTGTCAAATTCATATACATGCACAACCATTAATTCATTGGGATTGAGGGATGAAATTATTAGATTTTAAAGTTATAAAAAGGTTCGTCTACAACCACATAAATACTCGTGGCTTGTTTTCTAAAAAATAGAGTACATTCTACCATTTATTCCTAACATTTTTTCCCAACATTTTTTCATGAAATATTTAAAATAGTAATGTGAATTTTGAAATATTTATAAATACCTGTTTATAGTCTGATAAATACGGATGTTTGCTCTGGCTTGAAGTATCGTTTTTGTCCACATTTCGGCTTTCGCGAGGTTTTAATAGTTGTTTGTTGTCTTTCACGCTCCACGGAGGACAATGAACGTGTACGGCTTCCACACCTTTGAACAAATGGTCAACAGTCGAAAAAATATGTCGAAAATATCAAAACAACAAGTATTCACTGCAAAAAGCCGAAATATTTTTATAAAAACCAGGGGGGGGTGAAAACTGTGGCGGGCTCATATTTGAGCCTTGTTCAGTGGCAATTACCATGAATTTAGGGACCAGTAGTCATGGAAATGGCGTCATTTTCACTCAAAATCCGCCATGTTTTTGCGGACACTTCGTTGACTGAACGAAGTATAGGAGCAGGTCCTCCAGTAATATAGTATAGCTCAGTGGGGTAACCGCTGGAATGTTCTTGGCTTCAATTTTACTAAAAGAGATGCGCTATCTAGTGTATTTAAGATATCTATGCATGCAACTAACGCAGAATGGAAATCACGAACTTGAAAGCATATCATCGTGTGTGTGTCATTTTCCTACCTTGTTTGAGGTGATCATATCATTGAGTCGTAATCTCCACTGAGTACAGTGAGGTAAACAACCAAGTACATTTCCTTCATGATCTCCAACAACTATCGACAAGTTTTGTGCTGAAAGATAATTCAGTAAATAAATATTAACCGTGTGGCATATATATTTTAGAGATTTCTAAGTTACTTTTTCTTACCCATGGACAATGTCACCATCATGAAACTGGTTTTGATGTTCTATCCAGTTTAGTATGAGATCAAATAAACTGGAATAAACCCCTATTTGGGAAGTCTAGTTGTTAGACGGCAGGGGTGGAAAAATGGGTGAGCATACACGCACTGCTCGCAGGAAATGTTAAACAGATGCAAGAAATTCGTTTGGATGAAGATTTGCTATTGAAAATTTGAAGGAAACCTTAACAGCCATGTCCCACTATGGGCACAACAACATATGGTTGACAGACATTATTCCTTGAATTTAAAACCACAGTCAGCTACAGTAGAACACTATATGTTTATGCACATGCAGATTTAGCACAAGAATACTCTGTTGGTCTGCAGGAAAATTTTGTCCCCAGGTTGACTGCTCCCACGAAGAAAATATTTTTTCCTGCCCTGTTAGACTCTGGAGTAAACTACACAGTTCAACAGCATTTGTGCACATGATGGAAATGGACAGGTAAGACAAGTAACACCAGTTGCTGTTTATAGACAGAGCAAAAACATTCTGATAATACTGGCTGCATGAAGGTGTGCATTGCACCTTTATGGGTTAGACGAATAATTTAAAATAATCAATTACATATACATCATACCTGTATCAATGTCGACAGCCAAGGCAGATATACATCCTTCAGATATTGTCATTTTATACAAAATCTGTTTGTTTCCAAAAAAAGTCAAAGTTCCTTTGGAATCAGCAACAATCAAATCAACAGAACCAAATTTAGTGACATCATGCAAACATAATGTTTGGACTGGACCCCCTTTCGTTTCCAATTTGATCAATTCCTGGATTGAAATAAAAAATAACACACAATTACTAAATATGAGCTACAATAATCAGATATCTGTGCAGCATTACCTTCAAAGATACATTCTTTACTGAATTCTTCACTGTGGGTATTTCATAGACAGTAATCATTCCATCTTCACCTCCAACAACCAAACAATCATCATTTAGTCTGTTTAAGAAGAAATTATTTAACACCTCATTAATTAATACACCTTACCGATTATTCTCTTTTATCCAATGGCCTTGTTTCCATGTTAACTTATTTTAGCATGTCAGGGGCAGATAAAGATTATATTCCCATGTTTTCCTGGACGAAATTTGTTTCTTGCTGTTCTTAGGCTCAATTACGAAGTAATTTTCAACCCTACTAAGCACTTAAAACATGAGTAAGTATTTGACATGAAAACGATGCCATTGGGTAAAAGGGCAACATATTTCAGAATGATTTACGACTACAGTTCAATTGTTGAACTTCTCATGACATGTGCAGAAGAAAATGTGCTCAAACAATGACATTAGGTTTGGAACATGACAAGTGTAATAAAGAGGTCCAGATTTCACTTCCGTTACTACAGCCTCTCATTGGCTTTGCCTACATCTGATTGGTTAATTGGATATATCAAATGCATCTGATTGGTTAATGGTCCCTTAATGGTAGCAGAAGTGAAAGGTCAATTCTGAATGGGGCTACGGTGGCCAAGTGGTTAGCGCACTTGCCTTTCACCTCTGAGGCTGCAGGTTCGAATCTCACTAAGTACCTTCTCAGTGCGACTCGAACCCAGTCCCCATGTGAAAAGAGTAAAAGTCAACGCTCTGCCGAACGCCGTGGGTTTTCCCCGGGTACTCCGGTTTCCTCCCACAGGGAAAAGTTGACAGGGTGGGTTAGGTAAAAAAAAGGGCCCACAGTAATTGGCATATGCTGTTGTGGTGACCCTGCCCTAGTTGGCGAAGCTAATAAAAACAAAAGAACCTCTCTGATGTTTGAACTAGATCTTATATACGAGGCCACCACATCAATTTTCATGCAGACATCTCATTAGAAAATTTCTATATTTATACAAGTTTTTATATAAATTTGTCTAAAACGAGCTCTCAAGATGAAATACGTTCTTTGAATGACTCAAAATGCAAAAATTGAAATTATCCGAATAATACACGTGTATTGAAAAGTCATAATTCGGGTCATTTTGACTATTGGCGAGAAAAAATCAACATAATATTTAAACTATATCAATTCTACAAGCTTTCTCTCTTACCTGAATATCTTTCCAACTGTAAAAACATTAAAATTTTTCTCCAAACGACTTTCCCACTGAAGTTCTAAATCAACATTCTCGTCCGGCATTTTGAATTTGTGCAATTCATCTTCGGCGCGTCTTCGGCGCATCTTCGGCTACAGTCGCTAACATAGTATCTAATAACATTCTAATTATTCTAATTACTGTCACAGGGTAATATTTGTAAACAAACTGTTGCTATGGTTTTATTGTCAAAGTTTATAGTTTTATGTTGTAAAAAATTTTCTGGCGATGGCTAACACTGTTTTAGCAAGATCTCGGACTCCTCGGAACAGATCTAAGCAACTTATTACACCAACTACGGCATATTCCACGGAGGTGAGATACTAAACTGTTTAATTAAACGTGTTTTTTGGACAATAAACAATTAAAATTCTATTCATATGTTCAGATCCTGTGTGTTGGCCCAAATAATTGTTAGAGCTAGTTAGTTTCGTGTTATGAATATGTTAGGTAGACATACATTAGCTGCTAATTAACTAACCTTGCAACTAGGTTCCTTGTATATGCCAGC